GAGAAATTTGAGTCGGCCGACAGCCTCGTCCTAACAGCTGGGGTAGGCCACTGTTTCAATCCTCCAACATGTGAATTAAAGGAATTTGATTCCCGGCCCCGCTGAGGTCGGGTCATAATATAATTAGAGAAAACGTTGATAGGATTACCCATATTCACTAAAGCCTCAGTAATGTGCCAAAATAACAGTTGGTTTCAGCAGCAATGCTGAATCCCAGGCAGGCTGGGCCAAGCCAAGCCGGGCAGGATACAGCGGGGCCAGTTTGGCTGGTGGCAACTAATCCGAAGGCTTAGATACTTACAACACAGAATCTGTCCGACATGGACTCGTCTATGATAGCCTGCGCTTTGGCTGTGCTGTCCTGATTTGTCAGTGTAGCTGCATAAATACAGATTTTTGCCTTCAGGCCTTTCAGATTTAACCCAAATAGCTGAAAGCGAGTAGCAGGCTACGCCGATCAATCACGGCAACTACAACAGCTGTCCGAGCAATACGTGTTGTAAAAGAAATATGTGACACACATGTGCGAACACATGCCCAAACAGACGACTTCCAAACATACATATGCACTTCCTGCAAGCTGTCATACCTGCTAGCAGTGCCCAAGGCTGTGATCCACGCCTGGAAGATCCCAGAGTAGAAAGCAAAGGGGCTTTTTCTGGTGATTGCAAAGAATATAGCGGGTAGGATCAAGCCCCCGTGGATCACCAGACCCACAATGACAGTCACCATGTACATGCCCAGCTGCCTGGCTACCACCTCCAGGTCCCCGATAGCTGCGATCTTTCCCGAAATCAGAGAGGCGATGCCGACAGGAGAGTACCTGGACAAAGACATCACAGAAGAAATTATCTGATTGGGACTGATTGTGGTTTATGTTCCATTAAACTCCATTTAGTATACACTATATATATGTGTATGTACATGAATATTTCTTTATGCTTTTTTCTGTCCAATAAGCAACAAAGCCATTTAAAGGCAGAAATTGTTTGATTTTATTGACTGCCTTAATTTATTAATTATGGATGAATTACAACAAAGGACAAGGTGTCCACAGGTCTTGTGAAGGCTACTCGTTCTACTTTACTATCCTTTAAAATAATATTTAAGAACAAACCTGCATAAAAAATGTCTTTGTTTAGGAACACAAGTGTG